ATCCTTAGATTTTGACCCAAATTCTGATTCTGATACGACCTTCAATTTTGAAAGAAATTCCCTTAAAATTCCGAGGATTGAGTGCCCTTTTGTCCTAAAGATTTTACATTCGCATGGCAAGCATTTCACATTCACACATGACCAAGCATTCCAAACACCCCTAGAGGTTAGGATTTTCCTGTCTTAGCTTTGGAAAGATTTGTAATTTCACTATTCAAACAAAGGCATCACAACATCTTAAAAATGAGATAATCTCATGTCCTAAGTTGGAAAGTTGCTATAGCTTATTATATACACTAGGTTAGTCTAGTAAAAAATTGTACCTCAACAAGACACCGATATACCTACCCTACCTAGCACCTATAACTGAAGGGAGGATCAAGCAATATGTTGGTGATCCAGATCCAAGGCTTGTGTTCCCACCATGATAGAGCCCATGTTCGGCAAGCCGTTTAGGATATCAAGCAATATGTTGGTGATCCAGATCCAAGGCTTGTGTTCCCACCATGATAGAGCCTATGTTCGGCAAGCCGTTTAGGATATCATTAATTAATATTGGTAATGTTATCCGAGTAATAAAATACGGGGCGTGACAATTCCCCATCTGATAGTCCTCTATTAGTTCATCATATTCATCTTGATCCTCATCATATTCACCATTGCTTTCGTCAAGGCTATTGTGTTCTGGAAGTTCACCATGTTCTAACCAAGTGGTGTATGATACTATCATCCCACTTATGAGCAAATAAGCCTTTACAATATCATACTCCTGCTTATAAAAGTTAAAACAATTGATGCATGGGCACTTAATCTCCCTAGCCTCACCCAAATGAGCCTTTGCAAATTCAATAAATGAGTTTACCCCATCTACATATGGTTGACTAAATCTGTTAAAAATTATCATCCAACTCCTGTCCATATCTGATCATAAGATAGTAGTTAATACCAATGGGGCACAACCTTTATTTATTTATTTATTTATTATTATTATTATTATTATTTATTTATTTTTCTTAACATAAAGACAAAGTAGTTAATATTATTGTAGAGTGACACATCATCGCTAGTAAAGGTGTATATACCTATAGGCTTATTTAATTTTGTATCAAGGTTTCGACCAACAAATCCTTTAAAATTCTATTCTATCTACATATATTATGTATTAAGTTTAAGTGTTTTTTTTTTCTCTCATTTATCAACAGGGAAAAAAAATTAAGTGTTTTTTTATTTTACATTCCTAAACTTCGTGATGAATTGGATAAGTGTCAAAAGAAAAATGAAATAGCATAGCAAGCCTAGCCAATGTTGTGGACAAAAAAATGAAACCTTAACAAAACAACACAAAGAACTAAAAGAAAATTGTTGCCCCTAAAGCACCAAAACAGCTACAGAACAAAAGCAACAAACAACAAGACAAACTCAAAAAATAAATACACGGTCTATTTGGTTTGGATTTTCAAATGAATTTTATAATTAGATGTTTTAAAAAAGTGCAAAATTTGAAATTTTGTTTGATTGTATATTTTGAAAATAGTGTTTATAAATTTGAAATTCATTTTTTTTTTGGAGTTTCAAAAAGCAATATTTATATTTTAAACTTAAATTAAATGAAACCATTAAAAACCTACAAAAAAGACCCCACATATTAAACCCATATATAGTGTATCACTTATTTTTTAGTGGGGAGCATTCAAACTATTTAGAAGCAATGCAAAATGAGAACAATAATGCTTATCTAAGTTGAATTTCCTTGTGGATTTAAAGATGGATTCATCTAAGTTGAAGGAGATGCTTTCCTCCTTTCATGCTTATCTCCATTCAAATTGAAGAGCCATAGACGACTGAACTTGGATCTGGAACTCTTGGATTATCAAATTATGGCCCTAGCAATTCCTAAATGTTGTTGCAAGTCAATAGTATGCATGGTTTGCTATGTCACATGCATGTTATTTAGCCCAAGTCTGTTTTACATTGATAGCACCCATCTTTATTAGTAATAGACAATGAATGAGTCACTTTAGATGTCTTATAAATTTTCAATTATCAGAAACACCACTAAAATAATATCATATGATCTTCAAACTACCTAATAATTTTACATTTCAAATTGCATAACAGTTAAAAAAAAAAAAAATCAAATTACAAAAAGAAATAGACCCTATGCTAGCACATGACCCTTGAGGAAAAAGAAACCATTAGAGATTACTTGACTTTAGCCTTTCAGCCAAACAAAAAAGCAACCAAACTCAACACACACAGTAGCAACAACCAGCAATAAACCCAACATATTGCTGCCACGTCTCCAAAGCAAACTAGAGATACAGAACCAAAAACCAAAAATCTATAGTTGAAAAGTTTGAATGGCTTTGAATTTATAGGTAACACTTATTCAAACTTAGATTGTATGCCTTGAATCCAAAAACACTAGGAAAAAAAAAAAAAACCCTAACCATGTTGAAAAAAGACCTAACCAATTGGGTGTCTTTAAAATGTTCTTTAGATGATGAGATCCAAATTAGAGAAAAGAACCAAGAGGGGCTCAATCTTTACAAGAAATAAAAATAACCTAGAAGACTTTTCAAGTTTCTTGACCGAAAGACCAGTCGCAGAACTCATAGATAGATACAGTAGTAGAAGAAGAGAAAATTGACAAACCTAGATTCAATTAAGAAATTGAGAGAGAGAAGCAGGGGAAGTCAGATACAAAGCAAAAAGGGAACAAATCTATAGGGACAGATTAAAGCACTGATGGTCTCGTACAGTAGTAGCAAACGGCCGAAACCCGACGATCAACAAACGTCTATACGAGTGTGCGATTGTGAGGGGGAGAGACCTACCAATTGTGCGAGAAGGCTGTGCAAGAGTGAAAATTGTGGAGAGTGATGAGGGGGTTTACCTATCCTAGGAAAAAAAATAAGGGAATTTGATAGGGAAACTTTACACCGTATTTGTTTTTTTGGGAGGGAAACAACAATTTGTAGAGGCATATCACAAAAAAAAAAAAGAAAAAGAAAAAGAAAAAAGAAAAGAAAAGAAAAGAAAATTTTAGATTTTTTTTTTGAAAACATTAAAATTAATTTCAAAAAAATAAAAATAAAAAATATATTTAAAAATTTTTAAAAATTATTTATGACCTTCAAAAAGATAAAATTATGCAAAAATAATAAGGATTTTTTAAAAAATTTTTCCACCAAATTATTTTTTAGTTTTTTAGAAAAAAAATTCTAAAAATTTTTGCTAAAAATAAAACTAAACATATTGAAATTGATAATCTAATTATATTCTTTGGAAAAGTTTAGATTATCTCAAATTAGTCATCTCAATTTAAGAGTGTGTTTGGGCTTAATAGGTTCATTTTGTGATCTAATTCGATAATCACTTTAATTTTAAAATTCAATAATTAGAATATTTAAAACTCTTTGAAAAGTTGTAATAAAAGTATAAATTTTTACCGATGAATAGTGTTGTCATCGCTAAATGTCACTACAACAAAACTGAGTTTTTACAGCTTAACATTAATGACATACAATAAATGCAAGCCGTAGTTCTCACTTTTACGACTTACTTTTTTTGCATGTCGTAAATAATTTCCCAACCACGACATGTTTATTTCGTAGGTCGTGAATGCTAATAATGATTATTTTTTTACGGGTTGCAATATTAGCCGTAAATAATAAATTTTTTTACGACGTGCACATGACATGCCGTTAATACATGAACTATACACAATATGTGTATACCAGTTGTTAAAAATATTGAACATTTCACGGTGTACAAAAGGTCAGCTGTTAAAAATTACACTTTCCATAACGCACGAAAAGCGAATTGTTTAAAATATTGCAATTTTCACAACACACAATTAGGCCCCGTTTAGGAACGGGCTAATTTAATAAATTTTTGGCTATTTAGCTAAAATATGAGCTAAAAAAAATAGTATGTTTGAGATGACTTTTTAACTTTTTACGAAAAGATGTGCAAAAAGTATAGAGAAAAGAGAATTTTTGACTTTTTAATATAAATTGTTGACTTTTTAATTAATTTAATAAGTTTTTGACTTTTTAACTAAAAGGAAAACTTCCCAAACGAGGCCTTAGTATCGTGAAAGATACGACCAAAAAATAAAATAACGCTAAAATAAAAATTTCAAACCCCCCCTAAAAAAAAAAAAATAAAAAAAACCCCAACTCTACCCCAATATGAGTCTTAAAAAAAAGGGCAAATTACATATGCCCCTCGAAGTTTGGCTAAATTACAGATACCCCTGAGGTTTGAGAAATTACGAATTTCCCCCTGAATGCTATATTTGCATAAGAAATTAGGGGGTAATTTGTTATGAAATATAAACCTCAAGGGGCAAATTATTATGAAAATACAAACCTCAGGGGGCGGGATATAATTTCCGAAACCTCAGGGGTATCTGTAATTTAGCCAAACCTCGAGGAGTATATGTAATTTGCCCTAAAAAAAAAAACTGGGTTTCATCGTCCAAACACCCTGATACACACAGTGAAAGTTTTTGCCTTTTGTTTGATCGCTCCCTGCCACACCATCTCTCCTTCTCTCTCTGCTTTCATCATCTTTTGCAAGAACATTAACATAGAAAATACTCTCCAAACCCTCACTCACTCTCTCTCTCTCTACCAAACCCAAAACCAAACCCAAACCCAAATCGACATGAAGAGCTCCAAGAGGCAAAAGCCTCTTCAAGTTGAACCACAATGGTGGGAAGCTATTGACTCAGGGGTTGTTTGGGTAAGTGTACTTTTTGTCTTTTTGAACTAAAAAATTGAGGTTAAAAATATGGATATTTGGGTTAATTTTTTGATTTTTTATGAAAAAATATGTAATAAAAAATTGTAAAAATTGATTTGTAAGGAAAAATTTAAATTGAGAATTGTGTAGCCATAATTGTTAACTTTTGATGAATAATGTTAACTTTTTAACTTTTTGACTTTTTAACCATTTTTTTTTTTTTTTTTTGCAAGTACCCAACTTGGCCTCACTTAGAAAGTTGTAATGAGACAAAAAAAAGTTAGATGGGTTAGAGAGAGATTGTCTGTCTGCCTTCTCTCTTGAATTCATCAATCTCTCATTGATTATGGCTGATTCTCTTAATACTCGTGGGGTCGATTCTTCTAGAGGCGAAGTAGATGTACTGGAAGGAAAAAAGGGATCGGAGTTCATGAAGGTGTCTAATGAGGTTTTGGGGGTTCTTGATGGATGTACTGCGGGGTTTGGGAAATCATACTCTGCGAAGCTGTTTGATCAGGGTTTCGGGGGTATGAAAGGTGATTCGCCCATCAGTTGTGGTCAATCTGGAAAGACGGTCACGAACCCTAGTTCTTTTGCTGAGTCTGTGAAACTAAGGTATTTTCCACCTGATAGCAATACTGACATTGTTGTTGATCTCCCACCTCGGGAAAACATTGAAAAATGGGTAGCTTGTTTGGTTGGCCATTTTTTAGATAGAAATCTAAACTTCAACTATGTCAAAACATATGCATTTAATTTGTGGAGGGGAAAGGGTCCGAGGGAGGTAATTGCTACTAATAATGGTGTCCCAATAAATTCTTGAAAAATAGTATGTGACAAACATTCATTTCTAGTTTTCTTGAAGGAATGAGATTCAAATTTTGTAAACTAACTACAATTTTTATTTTCTATTTTTTATTTTTTTGGGGCTAACACTCAAATGTAGTTGTATTCGTGATTTATTCATAAAGAAACTACACACATGGAACCTCTGTAAAAACAATACTGTTACAGAATTATTCATCCTCATACACACCCACGGAACAATTGCTTCACACTGGCTCCTACCCCCACATAGGCCCTTTGCAAAGTTTTGACTCTTTAAAGCTTTATATGTATGTAAATGACTTATTGCTGTTTTGATACTTTTTTTTTGTTTTTTTGTTTTTTGTGTGTGTGGTGGTGTTGATATACTGATTGGGATTTATGAAAAATATTATAGGGTTTTGAAGGTCTTTGGATTCAACAGCTAATATTGATGCGTTTGATTTGATGAGGTGAGTATTGTGTTTATATCTGTAGAATTTGGTTATTAAGTTAGTTTGATGAATATTGTGAATATTGTGTGGATGCGAATCTATATCTATGTAGTAATTCTACCGTAGGAACTGTATATTATGTTTGTTTTAGTTATGAATTAAGTGAACTTTTCCACATATGAAGCAAATTGGTTGAAATAATCTGATACCCACATTAGTAGGTTTACTGAAATATACTGACTGGCTGGAATTATATATATTTACCCACTAACAGAACTTTTGGGTTAGGACCATGTATTTTAGTCTAGTTTTCACTTTCCTCTTCTTCTTCTTCACCTGTTTGCCTTTTTTTTTGGTTAGTAGGAAAAATAAGTTTGTTTTTTGTTTTCTCTACACTCAAACAAAGGATTTTTAGCTCTCTTTAATAACATTTCCCAAAAATTTATTGTAACCTTGGTTAGCCCCAATTTCATATCTATCCAAGAAAAGCTTCATAACCATCCAAACAGGAAAAAAAAAGAAAAAAAGAAAAAACAGAAAAACCCCATCCATACAAAGCTCAAAACTAATGCAATCTATGCTATTGTTCCTAAGCCATCGACATCTGATTAATGCTTCATGTGTTTGGTTATATCTGGGTGGTAGGGAAATGGAGAGGTCTTACTCATTTTTTAGTCACCTACCTCTCTCTCTCTCTCTCTATATATATATATATATGCTCAAATAAGTTGTGCAAAATTTTATTTTATTTTTTTGTGTTTTCCCTTCTTTTAGCATGGATTCCAATGCTTCAAAGGGAGAACACCATTTTAGTGTTTCCCTTATTTTGAAGTTGTCCATTAAATATCTAATTTAATTGTTGATCAAGTAAGAAACCAAAGTTATAGCTTATTTATTTTAACTGGATTGCATCGAATATGTTGGGGCTTTTTTTTTTATTATTATTTTTGTGTGTGTTTGAATTGACCATGACATGTTAAAGAAAAGGTAAATTTGGTTGTGTTGGAAATAACTGGATTTGGCATAATTAGGACTTTTGTTCTTATTAAATTGTGGAATCTAATTTTTTGCTTTTCATATGATCATCAGTTTTTCCTAATTTGTAAATTGTTGCTCCTTTGCTCTCAATGTTTGTAATTTGTGAATTCTTTGATTTCTTCATTTGAGTTTCTACTCTTTATACTTTTATCGTGGAGACATTATTGCATTCTACTGTGGGTAATTATTAAATTAAAATTTGTGAAAGAGCACAATTATTGATTTGCAAAATTCAATGTGATGGGGCCTTCGAGCAAAAATTAGTTGGGCATTGAATTATTGAGGTTTTTTTTTTTTATTTTTTATTTTTTGTTTATTAACTGGATTGCATCGAATATGTTGGGGCTTTTTTTTTTATATTATTTTTGTGTGTTTGAATTGATCATGACATGTTAAAGAAAAGGTAAATTTGGTTGTGTTGGAAATAACTGGATTTGGCATAATTAGGACTTTTGGTCTTATTAAATTGTGGAATCTATTTTTTTGCTTTTCATATGATCATCAGTTTTTCCTAATTTGTAAATTGTTGCTCCTTTGCTCTCAATGTTTGTAATTTGTGAATTTCTTTGATTTCTTCATTTGAGTTTCTACTCTTTATACTTTTATCGTGGAGACATTATTGCATTCTATTGTGGGTAATTATTAAATTAAAATTTGTAAAAGAGCACAATTATTGATTTGCAAAATTCAATGTGATGGGCCTTTGAGCAAAAATCAGTTGGGCATTGAATTATTGAGGTTTTTTGTTTTTTATTTTTTGTTTAAACTTGAGTTTTGCTTGGTTATGAGTGATTTGGGGTGGAAGAGAAGGGAAGATAGAGGATGAGGTCTTATGGGTCACATTCAAAAAACACCCACACCTTGGTGTTGACATAAATATTTTCACTCTTCAATTTTATAACCCTTGGATATTAACAACATTTATGCGAGACTCATTACACCAACGATAGTGACGAGTGCCTAATCAAATGGGAATCAAACAAAATGAATGTTGACTTCTCAAGAAGCAATTTGCCATTCTATGGTTATAGAATGTGTCCAATTTGGTTGGGCTTTGATTTGGACACCTGGTGCCAATCAAAAAAAAAAAGAAGAATGTGTCCAATTCATCTATCAAGCAAAGATCTAATTTCAACACAAGTTAACCTCAGATCTCCATCAACTAATTAGTGATAATGAGCCCAAATCACAAGTAGTAGGTACCACTTTCTAGCTATATAGGTACTACCTTGGTATTTTTGGCTGTCTTGTGCATTAAGGGTTTTTTTTTTTTTTGGTTTGGATTTGGTTTTTTGGGGGGTTTTTTTTGCTTTTTTTCGAAAAATCCAAAAAAAAAAAAAAAAAAAAAACAAACAAACAAACAGAGAGAAGAGTTAGTTGACTTTTTGTAATGACTTTTTGTCCTTTTAACTAAAATTTAAACTTCCCAAAAACCCTAAATTAATGCAGTTCACAATTTAACTTATTTGAACTTTAGAAATTAATAGACATAATGAGCCTTTTCAATGAGTACATTATTTCAGCACTTCTTTTGTCCCTAACTATTGGAAAGGAAAACATGCATTGCAAATAGATTTAACTCCTCTGTTTTTTTATTTTATTTTTTATTTTTTAACCAAAGAGTTAGTATCGGCTGATTTTTGATTTTTCTTTTTCTTTTGAGAAGGTTACAAATTTAAACAAACATGCTAACATGGGACCAAAGATCAAGGATGTGAGGATACGAATCCAGGTAAAAGAATACTCTTTCAACTTAATTTGGCTACTGCTAATAATAATGTCAATTGGGGTAGTGGGTTTTTCTTCATTTCAAATGGGTTTTGTTGTGGGCTAATTATGTCAATTAAAGCTGTCAGGTTATTCTTATTTTTTTCCCAATCTTATCTGTTAGGGATGGTTTAACATGACAATAGACTAATTTCTTCTTGATGGTAAACTATTTTTCGGAAAACTGTGATTCTACGTGTTTGATTTTTGTTTATTTTAGTAAGAAATTTCTGCTACTCATGTGCTTTCAAAAACACTTTACTAAAGAAAGAGTTTTTTTTTTTTTTCTAGTACCTTCACTCACTAAAAGCAACATTATACATGGTTAAATTGTTTGACTCACTGATTTGAATATGCAAATAGTCCCTTATTCCTCCCTTGCCTACAAATTCTTCGATAGAATGTAAAGTCTTTTGGCCATGCTTGGGTTGTGTAATGAAAGATTTGTTCGGTTGCTTATGGTTGTCTGAGTTTTTTCTTAGGAAGATTGCACTGTTTTTTTAGCTTCAATGGGGGATATGATATCAGTACTCCTCAACTCTTAATTGTTTTCTGCTTGTTACAGAGTGAAATGCTTCCTAGATTTGTTTTTGAATATATAGCTTTGGCGGTCCTTAACATTTTCATTTTATTTATTTAATATATAACATTTTCAGTCCATGAATAGTTATAGTTAGTACTTAGTTTCCTTGTTTCAAATATTTGAGCTGTGATTGGACTAGTAGTGATGCTACGAATATATTTTGATCCTCTCATTTAGATAAAGAAAGTAAAACCCTCTCATTTGTCAGCTTTCTTGTTTTGTAATCCCCTTCTGTTGCAATATTAGCTTTTTGGTTTGATACTGATCTTCACCGACATAGTCCTATCATTTGTATTTCTATAGTTTTTGATTACAACACTTTATAAATGTGGTGTTTCCATTTGTGTTTCTTGTACTCATTCTCGTAGATTGTGAGACTTCCAAGTCAAGCTTGCTCATACCCTTTTGGGAATTGGTACAATTAAATCTTGATTTAATCACGAGTCACTTAGGTTTTTCAATTTCTAAATATGAAACAATCGCACAACTTAACCAAATCAAATTATCTTTGTAACTATGATATTTAATCGCCTTATTAGCCCAACTATATTATTTTCCCCAAATTTTCAATATTTTCAAGATTTAACAAAAATCTAAAGTTATTCCAAAAAATCATATCCTTTACATCAAGAATCTTAGAATATGGCATAGATAACACTTTTTGAGATTTAAGCACAAATTTATTCAACATTGTGTTTCACGAATTTAAATAAAACATGGCCACATTAGACTCCAAATTCATGAAACCCACCAACTAAGCAACTTTTCAAGTCTAAAATACGTAAATTTAACTCTAACCCAAAAATTAGTTTCAAGTGTCATAAACTAACATGTATCACATAGATTTAAACAAGACAATTTAATCATGCTTTTCATATCAAATCATTTAAATCATGCTCTTAAATCATGCTCTTCATACCAAATCATGCAATTAACTTGAAATCACCCTAACATGTCGTTCTAAGAAGAAATGAGAAAATTCCTACCTCTTTGAAGCTTTAAACACTTAGAAATGGAGGCAAGAAGTAGAAAATGAATGATGCGCCAAAAACTCAAGTTGTTCTTCCAAATGATCTTCAACTCCAAGCTTCGAGCAGTGTACTTGGATACGCGAGTGTCTCTCCTCAGCTTCAGTCTTAGTTCTTGTAAACGGTTCTACCTCCTCCAAATTTGTCATGATCAAAGGCCTCCGACAAGGGAACCCTCTCTCCCCTTTCTCTTGATTGTGGCCGAAGGACTTAATTGTCATCTTGATTTAGGGGGTTGCTGTTGGTACTAATGGGTTGGTAATCTCACCTCCAATTTGCCAATTACACATTGCTATTTGCATCTGCTGATTTGGAGGAACTCAATCAGGTCAAGAACATCCTAATCAGTTTTGAGCTAATGGCTGGGTTAAAACTAAACTTTAACAATAGCCCCATTTGTGGAATTGGAGTTGAAAATAGTTTCATGCATTAGGCCTCAGAGCTTCTTGGCTGTAAAATTGCAAATCTTCCACTAGCCTACATAGGCCTTCTAATTGGAGTCAATCTAAGGTCAGTCTTGGTGTGGCAACCAGTTAGCAATAGATTCAAGTCTCGTTTATCCTCTTGGAAGCGGAAGTATCTATTCTTGGAAGGGCAATTAACTATGCTTAATGCATCTCTTGCCAACCTTCCAATCTATTTTATGTCTCTTTATAAGATGCCAGTCAGCGTTTGTTCTGAACATGAAAAATTACAGAGAAAGTTCCTTTGGGGTGGGTGTGGCGAAAAAAGAGGAATTCACCTTGCTAGTTGGAAAGCTATAACTACGGAGAAGGTTTGGCGGCTCACTGTTCAATCTCTAAAGTTAAAAAATGATGCCTTGCTTGCAAAATGGTGGTGGCGTTATGGTTCTGAAAAGCATGCACTCTGGAGAAAAGTGATAGTTAATAAATTTGAAGTTAGAGCCAATAGTTGGTTCCCCTATGATATGGAAGCATCTTCCTTCTCTAAGATTTGGAATGAAATCTGTGAGGTTGGTCGGGGAAGTGACGGATTTAGTGACTTCCTCTTGAATAATCTGGTTTTGAAGCTTGGTTCAGGAATCGACATCTTTTGGTCTGATGTATGGATCTTAACTAGACCTCTTTCTCAGGCTTTCCCCAGATTGTTCTCCATATCCACCAAGAAAGATAATGCCATTGTTGAAATCTTATCACACTCTAGTGAGGGACCAATTTGGAATCTACAATTTAGACGTCATCTTTGCCATTGGGAATATGATCTCTTAAGGGATCTTCTTCACTTACTCTTAGGTGTCATGCCACTCCATCGTCAAAATGACTCCCTCCATTGTTTGGCTGACAAACATGGTCTATTTATTCTTAAACCTCTTATCTCTCATTGCCATCTAGCTCTTGGCGAGGACAACAACTGCAAACTTTTATGGCGAAGTATTGCCCCTCCCAGAGTAAAATGTAACACCCCAATATTTTAATCATTTATAGTTATCAACCCTTTTATTCTTATTTCCAGTTCATAATAGAAGTTAGTGTTTAATAAAGATATAAATAGAATATAAAAATACTTTTCTTTCTCCTTGAATTTCCAAACAGATTACACGTTCACAATGCATTAATATCTTTCCAAAATACAAATAATTATACTAGTTAATGATAACGTGGTATAACTATTATATTGAATTTTTACGCATATTTTGTATAAAAAAATTACTTTTATCATTATATATTTTATTTTAAAACTTTATATCCATAACTTTTTTTAATGTTGTCCATGGTATACTAATTACAAATAATATTTAGCTTATTTGGTTCTAGTTTTCAGAAAACAATTTTCAAAAAATTCTATATTTTTATTTTCCGTATTTTAATGTTTTCAATAAATTTTTTTAATATTTTAAGCAAATTCTTTTAATTTTTAGACACACCTAACATAAATATACCTAAAAAGTTTAATATTTGTGAAAAAAAATCTTTAAAAAATACACTAAATACCAAAAAATATAAAAATAATATGAAAATTCAGTACATTTTTCATATTTTTGTGTATTTATTAATTTTTTAAAATATTTTTTCACAAATATTTTACTATTTAGATACATATCTAAGTAATGTGCATCTAAAAAAATAAAAAAATTGTTTAAAATTTAAAAAATATTCACTAAAATCAAAAAATTTGAAAAATAAAAAACTTAGTTTTCAGAAAACTAAAACCAAACACACTGATGGTAAAAATTTATGTTAAATATTTTTATAAAAAAAATTTAATATTGTAATTAATAAATGCTTTCTCTGATTTAATTTCTTGGCTCCGTCACTGCTAGTAGTTCAAAGAGCTAGAGAGAGATACAAATAAGGATGCCTTAATAGCTTACATCTTTCAAGACAAGGGTCTTGATTACAGCAAATAAAATATTATCTGGACAATTTAGCTCGGTAGCTGTATCACGAGTAGCAAATCAAAATGAGCGTATGTGCTCCATCAAAATATCCCCATCATCTAGTCAACGAGGTATACCTCCATCATCTTGGCTTGAAAGTGTTAATTATGATAGGAATAAGCAAGATTACCCAATATAAATGCATATGACGAGATATATAAACATTTGATATAAGTATAATCATGCCAACGCAATATCATGTCCAAAATTCTTCTCTTTGTTCTATGCAAAAGAATGATACATTAATACACCTTTATTAAAACAAACCAATATCAAGAATGGGGCGGTAAACATGCACTAGAATCCCAAAGTGTGAGCCAAATACATACATATACATATACACATACATACATATATATATATATATATAACAATAGCCCACATTTACTGTCATCAAGCATGGGAGGACAATTGGGCAGACAAACATTTTTTCACATTTTTTGACATCAAGTACTGAAGGGCAATTGAGCACCTTGAAAACATCATTTCGTACATTAATCCAGCATCAAGCACACAATAAGGCAATTGGACACATAATAAGGCAATTGGACACATTGATTGCCCACACGAATACCAATATAGTACTCCACATTTTTCAAAAACCGATTCACTATCCGGATTATTATGCCGTTTACCCCCTTTCCAATATTCCAACATCCAAAATAATGGACCAATAAGAGTTCAAAACAATGAAATGCAATGCAATGTACGAGTTTGCAAAATATAATAATTTGCCTAAAGTTCTCTTTAATTTTATTAGAAATAAACATTTTAATCCATAGAAAAAAGGAATCACAATTATATAATTTCTTGAAACTATTTTTTTATTTTTTTTATTTTATAATTTCACAATTCCATATAAAAATATCAAATAATTACTCAACCACATAAATTTTCCATGATATAGGGATCAAAACCACTCACAATTACAGAACTTACAAAGCTAAACAATTTTAAAATAAAATTTTGAAATTTCAACTATTGAACTATTTAGCTTTATAGAAAAATATTTCATCTACACAATATATCACCTGATCCCAAATGACGTGGCAGTGAAGGTCACCTAGGCTTCTCTCTTTCTCTCTCAAAACTTTCCTCTCTCTCCTCTGCCCAAATCAATCTCTCTTCATTCTTTCCAACGGTTCCAAATCAAACTCTCCCCCCTTCTCTCTCTCTCCAACCACCACACCATTAACGAACAGATCTGACCACCAATAAATATCGAAATTTTATTAGTGTGCCAGGCTGGCCGAGAAACAAAAATTCCAAATTCAGCCCAAAATATTAAGCCAGCCTTAAAAAACTAGCTCAACTCGGCCCAATAGATTACCATTTGTCTTGTAATTTTATGAGGTTGGTTTACAATTACATATTAAAGGATTTAAAACTCCTAATAACACTAATGGGATAAATGGAAGTGTTCCTTGCAAAATTTATGCCCCCAAGAAGGCTTTTTATTTATTTTCTTTGATTTCTTTTTTAAGTGCTGCTTTATCATCTAAATATTTCACTAATAATTTTTTTAAAAATTTATATGTGGATATTAATATGACATGATGGGTTCCATAATTTTTTAAAAATATGATGGGTCTAATGTATACATAATTAAGAGTCTTACAAATTTAGAGGCCTTCTTAAATAAGGAGCCTTAATTGGCTTGTTAGATTTATCTTACATTGTTTTTCTAAGCCACTCAAACTTAGTTAGGCCTGGTTTGGGAACACGTTAATTTAGTAATTTTTTGACTTCTTATAAAAAGATGTACAGAAAAATAGAAAGAGTGATATGACAACTTATGACGACGTTGACTTTTTGACTAAACTTCAAGTTGCCAAACGATGCCTAATATACTCTAGAGTCCCCTCCACTCACTACAGGAAATGAGGGATTTAACGGCGTTTAATTAACGACGTTTTATTAAACGTCACGTTTTTTAATTTTTAACGGCGTTTTTATAATCGCCGTATATTTTTTTAACCAAAACGGCACCGTTTTGTAATGGAAGGCGTTTAGAAACGCCTCCGAATGCGGTGCATACACGCGCCCCTTTTGAAACCCTTATTCATGAATCTGTGCCCTTTCTCTCTCTTATAGCCACACATCTCTCTTATCTTATACGCACACATATCTCTCTCTCTCAGCGACGAAGAAGACGAAGGAGAGTACTCTAGGAAGAAACTTCATCTCTCGAAAGATCAATCGGCTGTTCTTGAAGAGAGCTTCAAAGAACACAAGCTCCATCGGCTGTTCAAAGCGATTTCGAAGCGATTTCGAAGATTCAGATCGATATCAATCGGCTGTTCAGAGCGATTTCGAAGCGATTTCGAAGATTCAGAGCGGCATGTGCGTTGCTGAACTTGTCGTTGATCGACGAGACTCATACTCTCATGTTTCTCTCATTAGACATTCACCATTTCAATTCCCTATTTCTCTAATAATTTTTTCTTCTTTTTTTCTCATCAGTTGCAGCCATGGAAAGGAAGAGCAGAGGCCGTCAGAAGATTGCGATGACAAGAATGTCAAATAAAAGCAACCGAATCGTTACCTTCTCAAAGCGTCGTTCTGGGCTATTCAAGAAGGCAAGCGAACTCTGCACCCTATGTGGCGCTGAAATTGCCATCATCGTTTTCTCTCCTTGCAAAAAGGCCTTCTCTTTTGGCTACCCTTGTGTTGACACTGTTGTAGATTGTTTTCTCTCTCGAAACTCTCCACCCAATTCAGGCTCGCTCCAACTTGTCAAGGCTCACTGCAATGTGAATGTTAGCAAGCTCAACTTGCAACTTACTGAAGCACTTGATATGTTGGAAGCAGAGAAGAAAAGAGGCGAAGAGCTTAACAAGATGAGGAAAGCTAGCCGAGATGGGTGTTGGTGGGAAGCACCGGTTAGCGAGCTTGGACTTCAGCAACTCGAGCAATTGAAGGTTGCAATGGAGGATTTAAAGAAGAATGTTGCAAAGCAAAGCAAGAAGATTCAGATGGAGGAATCGAACCCCTGGAGGTTTATTGAAGATTCCATGGGAGGGCATGTTGGTGGTGCTTCTCATGATGTTAAGGTTTCTGGGCTAGTTCTGTCCATGACTCCACATGGATATACCCTCGGCTATGGACATGGGATTTTTTTGATATTTTGTCGTTTGTTGCTACGAAGAACTTGCATGTTTGCTTATGATTTTGGGTTTAATTTGTTGGAATTTTAATAAAAATAAAATTAATTATTGCTATGTAATTTGTTTGACCTTAATGAACATTAATATTGATTTTAAATATTTCGGTTACAAAGATATTATTAAGTTTTATTATTATAGTTATGTAATGATTAAATGTTATGAGATTTTCACTTGGATATATTTGTGTTTTCTAAAGATGTATAATGGATAAAAATCGCAAGAAGACATATATATATATATATATATATATGTGTGTGATTTTGAGTTTTAACATAAGAATATTTTATCTATTTTATGCATTTCTAGGCAATTATGGTTTGTGACTCATTCATATTCTCTTAGTGGACGTGAACATCGGATGAGAAAGGTTGTGAGCGCTTGGGTTGTGTCTTGGAATTGTTGCACTCCGGTTGTACCTTCACGTGGAGAGGAACAACGGCTTTGGGGTAGTCACTATGCGCTTCTCAATCTCACAGGCTAATTCTTTCTTACTCTATTTGACTTGTTTTCATATTTTACTTATCGTAAATATCTTAATCATTTTTATCAATTAAATTATATTAGTGCATAGTGTTTTTTCTAACAATCTGAAGCCATTGCGTTTTGTTTTGTTTTGTTTTTTTTTCTATTGTCAAGGAAAACAAAAGTTTGGTAAATGTTGAATTTAAAGTCTTCCCTTACTCTTCATATGTGAAATTAGTTGGTATCTTTGTCTGTGTAATCTCACAGCTATATATCTCTACTTTTATTGTTGTAAATTATTTATTACTAGATATGTAGCTTGAAATTGATTTGTCAAGTGATTCCTTTTAAATTATTTGGTTCATGAGTTTGTGTTATATGTAATTCTAAGCCTTCCTCTAATTTGTAGAAAATTAATACTAATTTTTTTGCAACAGC